ACTATGGATATCTTAGAATTTAATTTTGAAACCTAAGGTCATTGACTACCTCTAAAAAGTAAAATAGACATAATACTTTGAACTTCTTACCATCTGCTAATTGTGATGGTTAAAAGATATTCTGGATAGTCCTGAAAGTATTTTTCTCTTACATACTGTGCACAAACCTAGACAATATCACTGACTCTAATTATCATACTGTAAGTTTTGCTAATAAGCAGGTATATTGGTACTCCATTGTACATGGAAAGTAAATTCTAATAGACCATTAATCTCCAAAATTTTTTGTTTTATTTTCTTCAGCTTTTGAGATGTACATTTAGCTTTATTTTTGAATATAATTTTTCCCATTATGAGTAGAAAGACAGGAATGAGTTGCTAAATAATTTTTTTTTAATTCAGATGTTTTTGCTCCATTTAAAGCAGCTCTATGGCCTTTAAAGCAGGATTTTGGATTTTCTGTGTGTGGTGGGTGATGGGTTTTATGATTAAAATGTAAATTTTATGAATATTAGTATCAGAAATAATTATATTCTGGTATCTCAATTGATCATGTTACCAAGTGTTTATTATTATATTTATTTTACTTACATATGGAATTCTAAGGATGAGTGTTACCTTATATATTTTAGGTTTGAAAATTAGAGGAAGAAATATTTAATATGATAGCCAGAAAGTTGTAACCTAAAATAATGTATAGAAATAATACATAGGTGTTTTTCTAATGATGCTTTTAAACCAGTGATGTGAAATAATGTGTAGGCTTTGACCTATACATGCCAACTTTTGGAAATTTTTGAAAATGTCGTTAGAACATTAAACATGACTATAAGCTTATAATTTGAGATTCAGTACATATGTAGTTTTACATTTACTTATTCAATGATGTTAAATCTTATATCCAAGAAATTGCTTAAAGGTAAATTTTTGTAAGGACTGCCTTTATGTCCCTTGAGTTCTTTTTAAAAACAATAAATAGTATGTTTTCCCGTAGTTGAGCAACTTTATTAAAATGTATTTGAATACATAAAACAAAGGTTAAATATAGAAAAATGTGCAGTGGTTTCATTGGGTTTTTATTTTATTTCTGTTACTTTTAATGACACCTTGTGTCTAGGAAACATAACATATTTTTACAGATTACCAACAATTTTATTTCCAAGTGTAGTTAGTGTTAGATACTTTCATTAGCTAGGAAAAGATTACACTTTCCCTCTGTTGTGGAAAGTGGGCTCAACATGTGATATATACATGTACTTAGAATTTGTACTTACTGAGACTTCTCAGGTTAGGAATCAAGGGATCCTTGATTCTTATGATTAAAATTAGCAACAGAAGATAAGTTAACATTGTAAACTGTACCATGTACTTGCTGCATAAATCATATTATCACTAAAGGCTTTTCTATGTCACTTGTATTTTATTGAGCAAAAACATGTGTTCCCATCTATAATCTAGTCTTTACTAATATACCTAAACCTGCCTCTAACCCAGTGGTCCCATAAATCAGAATCATCAGTGGAGCTAGTTAAAGCAGATTACTGGCTCCTAGCCTCCAGAGTTTCTGAGGCTGTTAGTCTTTGGTGGGACCTGAGAATGAATTTCTAACAAGATCCCAGTTGATGCTGCTTGTCTGACAACTGCATTTTGAGAACCAGTGCCTAACTCATTGAGTATCCTTACAAACATCTAATAAAATAAGTTCAGTGATTTAAAAGCTGAAGTGTTTCTTTATGAGAACAGTAATTCCATTTCCTTCAAGTCATAATTAAAGTCCACCTATTTAAAAAACCCAATTTATCCTCTTCTGCCTTGTTCTTATTCATACTGAATTTTTATGTTTCACATTTAAGAAAAGTATAAATTTTTAACAGAGTCCCCATATATTACTAAATATACTGGTACTTTCATTGTTCATATAGACATACCTTTATGATAAATTTTTTTCTATGGAGGAAGAGAGAAGAATTCAACCCTAGAAATGTTCTTAGGGCTGAGAATGCAAACAGCTGAATGCCTTTCCTTTCTGGGCTTAGTTAGACTTTTTATTTTCATTAGAATGAAAACTTGAAGCTGAGCAGTTGGTGGGAATTTACTTTGCCTCTGTGGCTAACTAATTGCTTTATTTTTCCCTGTCTTCTTAAATAATAGCAGTTTGTAGTTTTACAGTCTTACTTAACAGCGTAATGGTGAAGGAATTTTTGGATTTTTCTTAGTACTAACAGCTCACAAAGGTTGTTTCCTTTTTTCTTGTTTCCTTACACTTTCTGTATTTGGAAACTTGAGACTACTTGCTTCATTCATGAAAGAATGTACATAGTCTGTATTTTTATTTCCATCATTTGGTCCTCTAAGATTTTAGGTTTTCTTTTCCATCAATCAAGATACTGATATGCAAATCTGATATTCTTGCACCTTTTTGTGTTCCTGTTCTTGCTGACCCTTTACTATTTTAGTACCCATATTCCTTTTTTTTTTTCCTCAAGATTATTTTCTTGCACTTCTGATATGTAAAACAAACCTTTTTGACATCTTAGGAGGCTGTGAATTCTAGAAATCTGTATAACTGTATTTGTAGGAACTCCATTAAGTTTCTTAACCTTTTCAATTTTACTTAAACACTTAGCCCTAAAATTAGTACTTTTTGCTGTCTTGTGCAATGTGATTATTAATCAAAATAAAAATTATGTGATATAAATTATTATAATTGCTTGTGACATTAATTTGAACTTGTAATTGTGGTTAATTTACTAATGCAAAGTTATTCAGAAAAAGTAAATATGAGCAATTGTTTTTCATTTTATGGTGTTTATCTTCTTTTAAACAAATTAATGGAAGCAAGACTACTTATCTCTTATACACTTCCTGCAAACATATTGTGACATTGATTGTTATTTTACCAGGTTTCTATCATGAATATATTTTGAATACATATTAAGACCATTTTTATAAATATTAAAACATGGCAGAGCTTTGTTGAGTGGCTATAAAATGTATATAGATGGGGTATATGAAAGGGGTATCTAATCCACAGGAGTTTAGATTTCTTTGTTTTTGAGAAGTTTGAGGGTGAGATAAAGGGAGGATCTTTGTTGGTATGAATAAGTACAAGGAAGGAAATTAAAGATTTTAATTTTTGATGGGGACTAGGTTAGTGGTTGAGAATTCCTGAGATTAAGAAAGTTTAAAAGAAGTGATGAACTCTTACGAAATTAAGAAGAAAATGAACCAGTTGAAATAATAGACATTGATATGTTGTGAAATCTTAAATCCATTTGTGATTTAAAATTTTAGGATATCAAAAATTTTCCATGAGTCACATTAATTCATTTACACTAAATGGAGAAGCACTGGCAAATTTCTATAAATGACTGAACCATACTGAATAAAGGGATTTGTGCTTAATATTTGTATAAGCAATTTTAGTTATAATTTACTTAATAGTTGAAGCATCCACTTGAAATTCATTTTATTATACCTTGACCTATAAAATTTGCATGATTGATCCTATAGAAGTTTTCAGGTCTTACTGCTCTGCAGGGAAAATCAACCTGGTTTTTTGTTTTTGTTTTTAACTTTTAAGCTTAAGTGGCTCTAAGGTGCATGACTTACATACCTACTCCTCTCTGACACAGTTCTCCTTCCCCTTACTTGAATTAGCACAGTTCTCCTTCCCCTTACTTGAATTAGCACAGTTCTCCTTCCCCTTACTTGAATTAGTTGTGCTAAAAACCAGGCTACGTTTTCATTCTTTATTTGCCATTCTGTAGTCTAGTAATGCACTATGGAATGTCTCACACTCAAATTATTAAGTAAATTTTGTTAAAATGTTATTGTTCTGCTTGCTTTGTCTTCCTAATTTATATACTGCACTATGGAATGTCTCACACTCAAATTATTAAGTAACTTTTGTTAAAATGTTATTGTTCTGCTTGCTTTGTCTTCCTAATTTATATACTAACAGAAGATATGGTAAGACCCCTGCAAACATTCCATTGGGTTGAAATCAAGTAAAATTGAAAAGAAATTAAATTAAAACTAAATTGAAAAGTTAAAAGAAATAGTTCTTGCCTTTAAGTAGCTTATAACAAGATCATTGGGACAAATTCATAGAACTTAAATAAATAATCATCTTGCCTAGAATTCTAACTTAATTCTAATAGTCTCAATGACAATGAATCATTGACAATACAAAATAAGAAACTACTTCTAATAGGAATAAATAGGGCATTCCAGGCCTCATGGTAATGACACTCTTTTTAATGTTGTATTACAGGGAGTACTAATTTAGAAAAAGTGACTATATAATCATATGTTGAAAATAAAAGTATATTGATCTGTGAAAATAGTGAGTGTAACGCAATGCTTAGACACTTAGTATGTACCAGGCACTATGCTAAATGCTTTCAATGCATTCTATCATATAGGTAGGCCAAAAGCATGGAAGGTGTAATCTATTGGCTTGATATCTGGTTAGAGTGTATAAGTATCTGTAATAGAACACAACACAAAAACCTGATTTAGAGAATACACTTAAAAACCTGGCTCTTCCTTTGTTTTAATATGTTTTCAAAATTTATTTCCACGCTGTTCAATTTATGACTCCATGTTTTGTTCAGTTCCATTCATCTAGTTCAATATCGTTTTTAAGTGCAATTTTAATTCTTAAATATAGTAGGAAACTGAGTAAGTTTTATTTTCAGTACATGTTGAACATGTCAAAAACTTCAATTAAAATGTATACTAAAATAACAAAACTATCAGTGATTTTCTTTTTATTTCCAGTTAAAATTCATTGTGACCCATGATAGAGAGGTATGACAACATAGATAAAATAGGACTTTTTGTAACTCTTTACAGGAAGCTATTAGCAGTTGAGTTTTTAAAATTTATGGTACTGGTTGCTTAAAGACAATATGGATCAGCTCTCTGTTATATTTTTTAGTAAGAATAAATAAATACATTGTTTTTACACAAGTTTGATTTGTTTTGTTTTCCAGGTGCAACAATCGAACACAGTGTATAGTAGTTACTGGGTCAGATGTATTTCCTGATCCATGTCCTGGAACATACAAATATCTTGAGGTCCAATATGAATGTGTCCCTTACAGTAAGTATGAAGTTTGTATTTTTAACTTTCTACAGCATTTCTCGTTGATGCTGAAAGAGGACCCATGTGAAAGAAGCATATGTTTATGGCCTACAAAACTATTCTGCATGCAGAGCACTAACAGGCTTGGGCCTCCAATTAGCTTCATGAAGTGTGGAAGGAAGCCATAGTGTGAAGCTGGCCAAGTGTCTGTCTGTGTTCTTAAGTGTTTGGCTTTTAAGGCTAGTGTTTTTCCAGAAAACAAACTTGAATTAGCTATTCAATAGGGCTGATAGAAATCTGTACTTTTGCCCAACACCAGTTGCTGACAAATTGGTTTGGCTCACAGTTTTCTAAAGAAGGAATTGACTTCAGTTTTCATAGTAAGCTACTTGAATGGCTACCTGCTGTTGTGGTAACTTTAATGCCTGGTAAAAGCTACCACTGCAGTTAACTGAGGCGAGTGCTTTCCTTTCTGTCCCTTGTTCTTAAGGGAGCAGCCCTTTACCAGATTCAGTGATAAAATCTTAACACTAAAAAAATAGATGTAACAAGTATGTAACACGTATTTTTAATTTCTCAACATCCGTTTTTAGTAATATCCTTTAGCAGGATATTTAAAATTTAATTGGAAACTTATAAGTAGGCTTCAGCTAATAGTGTAATTTTGTGTAGTTTTCCTCCTAACCTCAGAATTCATACTTATAAATTGTATTCTGCATTTTCAGTAGGAAAAATCACTTTAGACAATTAAAAAGATTAAGTATATTGCCTAATTTTTATCAGCTAATTTCTTTGGTATTGTTCTTATCACCTTTACTTTTTAAATTAAAAAAAAAAATACGTGTCATGTCACCTTAATTCATAGGCATTTGAGTTAAGAATTCTTTAGCAGAAATTTTATTGATTTGCTTTAGGAGGTCTTCCCCCCTTAAAAAAAATATGGACTCAAAACTAATAGTGAAATTGCTTTTTCCAGAACCTTAAAAACCAGATCACGAGTTCTGATAGATTCGTATGCTTAAACTCTAAATATTTCTGAAAACAAAGGGCCAATTTTAGATAGCTATACTATGTCCAGTATGGTAGTGATACATTCTTACACATCTCTCTTCTCTGCCCACAGTTTTGATAAATTGCCTTTGTGTGGGGAATCAGTTAAAGGCCAAACACAGATTATCTTTTCTTTTCATTCCTGCTCTGTGTTCCTGTGTTACCGTGAAATGGATGCTTTTTATGTTTTCAGTATTTTCTATGCCGTTTGTAGGATTGGAAGCCTACTGAGTGCACTCATCTTTATATCGTTTCTCCTATGTGTAGTGTTGGTGGCGCACATTATCATTCTCCTGTGCCACTAGAGGAACATTGTATTCTTTGGAGCTAACCAAAATTTTGTTCCATAAAGTCACTTTCGCGTGAATTTAGCATGGTCTCTGTCCTCAAGTTAGAAAAGGAATACAGCATCCATTCCCACACAGTGGAATCAGTCAGAGCTGCCAAGAATTGTCTCTCTGGAGCCAGTTCCTGTAACCTAGTCTGTAGATCAAAAACAGTGTTAAGAAAATATTATTTTCAGACTTTTAAGGTTATTTCTTGTGCTTTTTAAGAAAGAAAAGTGTGGATATCTTCTGGAACATCTAACTTTCAAAATTTTACTTTTTCAGTTCTCCAGAAGTGTTGTACAATGTGCACCAAACTTGCAAATAGCTATTTTCAAGAGAAGTATTTGTTCTTTTAGTGTTTGTCCTTTAAAAACAAAAACAAAGACAGTAATCAATTTGCTGTTACCTTTCTAGATACTTGCACGAAGCAGTCTGTGACTTTGTAGAAACTACTCCTTGCTAAAGAATAGAAGTAATTATACTTCCTGTATACCGTACAGTGGCGACACACTCTAAATTCCAGGACTTTCACTGCCAGTGATATTTTTAGATAGTTTTGATCTTATTTTGGGTCTTTGTATCTCTTCAATCTCTTTTCCCCATTTTCCTCTCCTTTTTTCCCTCATGCTTCTGTCTGTTATATCATCTCTCATACTTACTTTTATTTTAATCTCCTAGCTTTTACTTTTCCCTTGTTTTAATAGTGTTTTAGTGTGTTGTAATGTTTGCATACTCCTTTTACCCTTTGCTTAGTTGATAAAAACTGTCACTATCAAATAGCATTTATTATGTGTCTGTTATCACATGGCTTTATGCCACTGTCTGTCCTGAGCAAATGCCTCAGGAACAATATCCATCCCAAACTATTTTCTCTTAGTTTAAAAACAAAAATTCAGAAACTTTCCGTGATCTCTGAAAATTTTATAATAAATTTATGCAACAGAGTCCATTATACATGCTATAGTTTGTTTTACTTTGTATGTTTATAGACAGACACATGTATTATATTTGATTAGTAATTGAAAGAATATGTGTTTAAAACAAGTCATAAGGATCCTATAGGATAAAGGAGAATAGTCAAATCAGAATTTCCGTGTCCTATAGGCACAATTTGGTTTTGATATTTGAACTCTCTTATTTCAAATTATCATTAAGTTTTTAAAATTATACCATAAATTTAACCATAATTTTAATTTGATGAGTAAAAAACCTTTTACTATTGATGGTGTCATTACTAATGAATAAACATAAGATTATTCAGAGTGAAATAGTGTGTCACTTCAAATACAGAGTATGTAGGTTTTGTTTGGGTCAAGTTCTTGTCTTCAAAACTATGTCCTCCACTGATGTTAGTGAGTCATGTGTTTTATGTTTGTTCTATAGCATAGTAAATGTATTGTTATGAATTAATTCATACAGCCTCTTAAGACAAGTTACAATATATATTTGTGATAAAAATACTAATTTCATTAATTTTATTGTATTTTTCTGAGTTGATGAAATTTTGACTAATTTGACAGAGCTATATATCCTTTAGGTTGTCATAAAAATCATAATGTGAGGTCTTTTGTTTTAAATATCCATATTTTATGCACTTTATCAATCATCAAAAGTTTTAATTTATTTTTACTTTTACATTTGGGTGTTACTTCTCAGTTTTCATTAAAATTGTAGATTATATATAATATATATCCATTTTATTTTTTATATAAATGATACCAATTAAATCATAAGTGAAGTCTTACCTGTTTAATATTTTGCATAGTAACTTCATTATCGATTTAGTGTATCAAGTAATAAAACTAACTCAGCCATTTTCAATTAGTGGAAAACAAAATATACTTCCTACATCCTTTATTGAACTTGTTTTAATTTCTGTTTTAAATGCATAACATATTTTAAAATTTATTATTTCCATTCTTTGCATTTAATTGATTTATTTGAGTAAAATCATCCTTTCCTAAAAGGAAAGAATATAGCTGTATATAGAGTTAGTCTGAGCAGGCTCACCACTAATGATTTCTTTTATCCTTATTTTCCCACCACGCCCTTCCATTATTGATTCTGAGCAGGTATAATATTGCTCTTCACTGAGCAGTAATTTTAGGACTAGTGGTTAATAAAGAATTGTTCCATGTCAGTAACACTGAATTTCATTTTTACTGGATGTAGTCAGATTTACTCATTAATAGAGCAAGTATGTTTCCTGAAAGTGGTTAAATAGATCAAGTTGGATTGGGGCAGGGTCTCTTAATGTGAAAGGTTTCCTATGACAAAGCTCATTTTTCCCTAAGGTATTTCAGGAGGTCAGTATTTAACCTTAATGAATTATTGCAATTTAAGAAAAATTAATCAAGCTAAGGCATCTTAATGAAATGTGCAACTACAGTACCTTTGAGTAATCCGTTTGGAGATATAGTATTGGCACACCCTAATGCATTTTGATAAGGGAAGAGGGGGAATCACAGACATTAATCTGATCACTTTATGAAATTCAGGCAACATACTTCAAAAGCCTACATACAATCTAAAATAATATTTTATAGTTCATAATGATTTGAATACTGTTTACCAGCAAGGATATTCTATAGCACACTTCCTAACTGCATAATCTATTTCTTTAAATATCTTGAAGGGAGGATTTTTTTCTCCTGTAACTCTACTAATCAGGTTTGTTTTATGAAAGCATTTACCTTTCATGGGGTCTGTGGAAATCAAGGTATTTGCTTTGAATGCTCAGTATGATTGTTGCATGCTAGCTTGCTTTTGTGTAAATTGATGATGGTAGACAATGTCATAATAAGCTAACCATAATTCTTTCTTCCTTTTTCTCCTTGCCTACTGTGCTTGCTTTTTCCTTGTATGTATTTTGCTTACTTTTTTAAAAAATAGATTTTGTATTACAAGTTTGGGAAATGTGTTGTAGAGAATTTAATGAGAACTTTATAATATAAAGTAAATATATGTGTAAATAAGTAAAGTTACTAATTATAGTGGGGGGGGAATATATTATCTTATCCCATCCTTCAATATAACTATTGGGATAAAGGGGAGGCTTATATATTCCTGAAAAGGAGGCTAATTTTTTATAGTTAAGATGGTTTTTTCTAGAAGCAGAAAATTTAATATAAAAAATTGAAACATACTGAGCTGCATAATTATATATTTCTTCTTACACACATACCTTTGAAAAATGTAAAAATATCAGTATTCATTACATTTGACCTGAGCTTCAAAATTGAATTGCCATTTTATAAACATATATCCTTGTTGTTATGTTTACCTAATTTTAGTCAGCTTAATAATGAGTTCAAATGATAAAATAAATGGAAATAATACACCTATGCATGCTGTTGTGTCTGTAGCGTACCTATTTAAAGTAAAACTTAGTAAGAATGCTGAGTGACTTTGGAAAGGCAAGAGTCTGTATACCACGCATTAGTGAAGAGTTTCATTATTTATTCAGGTACACTAAGTGAAACAACATGCCAACATATTTGTATTGCCTCCTTAATCTACTAAAATGATTGATCCATGTTCTTTTATGTAACTTTAGTATCTTTCTCCTGCTAGGTTTTCCTGTTGTGTGTTTCTCTTTATCCAAAGTAGTACAGCTCTTATTCTTCCTATATTTAGCATCTATTACGAATTCAGTCTTAGACTAATAGTCAATTTATTTTAATCTTTTTTCTTTTTTCCTTGCACTTTTTTTTTCTTCCGATGCTTAAAATAGAAGTGGAGCAAAAAGGTAAATAACGTATACAGTTTGAACCCCAGCTCCTTGTTATGTGCCTTATGGATGTTACCTCCTCCCATCCCTTCCCCCACAACATTCCTGACATTAAAATACAATCAGCAGGATCTCATAAATGCACCTCATAAAGAAGTCGACTGTTTACATTGAAATTATATGACTGCTAAATCTGGTGATGGGGTAAAATTTCTGAAGTCGGCGAGGGGAAGCTGTCCTTTCTCTTTTTCTTTTCACCCTTTATCTCTTTTTCTGACACCCTTGGATATTTTATTATTAAAGTGTCATCTTGCCTGGCTTCCAGAACCCTCTCCATAGCATGCCATGGTTACAGGGTCTCCTGGTCGTTTCATCACTGCTTTCCTTGTATTTACTTTTCTCTGCTTCTAATTGCATTTTCTGAATATTTATGTTCCTTCAACTGAAGTACTTTTGTTTTCAGTCTAACTTGCGTAGAAGTTCTAAATAAGCCTTCACACTGGACTTTTTGTTTTATTTGCTTTATTTTGGTGTTTTGCTTTTGGGGGTTATAAGTGGGCTAAGGGAGGGAGGGTACTAAGTTTCGTCTAAAATTACTTTGTTCACTTTTATGCACAAAGTTTTAAATCATAAAAGAACTGTAAGATAAAACACATAACAAAAGTATAAATTGTTAGCTCAATTATGAATGATCTTAAACTTTGGTTTGTATTTGTGAAAATAAATGTGTGCATTGATTATAGCAACTTGAGGAAAGAAAGGTACTATTTGTTTTAAGTATAAATTTTGGTAAAATTAAATGTTAATAAGGTGAAGTTTTCTTTTTTGATCTATAATCATTGAAACTTATGCTTGCTTGTATAATCTTTTAACTTTGCTTAATTCTTGTTTTTTCTCTGTGAATGTTAGTTTTTGTGTGCCCTGGGACCCTGAAAGCAATTGTGGACTCACCATGTATATATGAAGCTGAACAAAAGGCAGGTGCTTGGTGCAAGGACCCTCTTCAGGCTGCAGATAAAATTTATTTCATGCCCTGGACTCCCTATCGTACTGATACTTTAATAGAATATGCATCTTTAGAAGATTTCCAAAACAGTCGCCAAACAACAACCTATAAACTTCCAAATCGAGTAGATGGTACTGGATTTGTGGTATATGATGGTGCTGTCTTCTTTAACAAAGAAAGAACAAGGAATATTGTGAAATTTGACTTGAGGACTAGAATTAAGAGTGGAGAGGCCATAATTAACTACGCTAACTATCATGATACTTCACCATATAGATGGGGAGGAAAAACTGATATTGACCTAGCAGTTGATGAAAATGGCTTATGGGTCATTTATGCCACTGAGCAGAACAATGGAATGATAGTTATTAGCCAACTGAATCCATACACTCTTCGATTTGAAGCAACGTGGGAGACTGTGTATGACAAACGAGCTGCCTCAAATGCTTTTATGATCTGTGGAGTCCTTTATGTGGTCAGGTCAGTTTATCAAGACAATGAGAGTGAAACAGGCAAGAATGCAATTGATTATATTTACAATACCCGATTAAACCGAGGAGAATATGTAGATGTTCCCTTCCCCAACCAGTACCAGTATATTGCTGCAGTGGATTACAATCCAAGAGATAACCAACTCTATGTGTGGAACAATAACTTCATTTTACGATATTCTCTGGAGTTTGGTCCACCTGATCCTGCCCAAGGTAAGAATTTTACTTGCTAATGCTTATATCTTTTTTAAACAGTTTATTTTTAAGACTTAAGTTATCCCTCTTTATTTTCTTCCCCTCTCATAGTTAAAGGGCAAGTGATAATGTTGTGGAATTTCAGTTGTCAGATGTGTGTACATTTTAGCCTTATTTTAGTCCATTTTCTTTTTCTGAATTTCACTTAAGTGTTGGTTTCAAAAAATTGTAGCATCCTTCATCAGTTTAGATTTCCACTGCTAAAAATGTATTGCCAACTACAAACCTGTTAGCTTTGTGTGTTTTTTTCTACCTGACTTCTGAATTGATTATAATCTGTGTGCAGACCTCTTAACTTCTTGGCGCCAGTGGTTAAGGGAAATGTGTGTTAGGAAGTCCCAGGAGAATTGCTAGGCTTGATGTACAGTGCCAGGCATAAGTGTTCTAAAGTTTTGGTGTCTGCTGTCTGTAGATCATCATGTAAAATTACACATTTTTATTTTCCAATAAATTTGTGATGGTATTAGGTCAATATTTCTGGACTTTAACTGTTACACATGGACTAAGCACTAGATGATCCCAAGTATCGCTTTCTGAAGACAGTTCTGCTAGCATTTTTAAAATTTGTGTTCTCTTTAGGTATCTTTATAAAGGATCATTACTTTATAAATCTTTGGAAATGTATTTCAGTTTGTCAGGTTACTTCAGTTCTGCAGTAAAATTTTGAGGGTAAATTACGTTTTGAATTTTCATTAAAATAAATTTACCTCATACTCATGATAAAAGAATGATCTCTTAATATATTATTATGGAGTTTGCCTAATTATAAATCTTTTCTAGTTGAACATAGTATTTGTGTTTAAAAGATCTGAATTATTTTTTCAATTTTCTGAGTTAATTGAAATTTTCACATTATTGAGTTACTTCAGAATTGTAGGAACCAGAATGTTCTTTGGAGTAAGTAAATCAATCTCTTCAACAAGATGGAACAGGAATTAATATCTTTTTCCTCTGTTAAAGCAGTATACAACCACATGCTTAAACACAGCTACATATGCTTATATGTATTTTAAGGAATAATGTAACTTATTAAGTCAGTTAATAAGTAAGTGACTTAGTAAGTCACTAAATCCTAAATATTGTCATAGGGTTAGGACCTCAAAAGCATGAGCCTTTATAGTTGAACTTCTAATTTGATAATAGATTATGAAGTATGTGAATTTTCTTCATACCACAAGAGCAATAATGACACGCCTTAGTGCTGTGCCGCGCTGTGCTTAGTCGCTCAGTCATGTTCGACTCCTTTTGACCCCGTGGACTGTAGCCCGCCAGGCTCCTCTGTCCATGGCGACTCTCCAGGCAAGAATACTGGAGGTGGGTTGCCATGCCCTCTTCCAGGGAATCTTCTCAACCCAGGGTTCATACCAGGTCTCCCGCACGGCGGGCAGACTCTTTATCACCTGAGCCACCAGCGCAAGCCCTCTTTTTCTTTAATTCATGTATATCTAGAATTTGTTGGCTTATAATTGTAGTAGTGTGTACCATTGATAAACTTTCAACAATGAAATCTTCCATTAGGCCATGAAAATCTTTATTGATATTATCTAAGTATCATTTATTTTTAAATTCAGACATATCTTTTTCTCTTGAGGCCAGCAATTTGGAATAGTTCTTATATCTCAGTTGTTTTCCTAAAAGTTAGTACCATGCTTCTCTCTTATCCTATAGTTTTGTAAAAGGCAAAGTTCAGTAATTGACCGAACTTGACATTGTAAAAGGGTCTTCTCTGGTGGCTGAGTTGGTAAAGAGTCTGCCTGCAATGCAAGAGTCCTGGGTTCAATCCCTGAGTCTGGAAGATCCCCTGGAGAAGGAAATGGCAACCCACTCCAGTATTCTTGCCTGGAGAATATGTATTATATCTTTTTTTATAACCTGTATTACCCTCACAGTTGTTAAATGTTTCTTGGGTAGCAGTAAATCTCTTTCCCTCCATTAGGAAAAAAAAGTAAAAAAAATTTTAAATGCCAATTATAATTAAATAACTCCTAAAGTTGAGTACAGGTTGATTCAGCTCAACAAGGAATTGTTGCCCACCTCCTTGTCACAGAGCACTTCATGGAATACAAGATGAGTAATAACATCACTTTCCACATGTGGCATATGTTCTAGTAAATAATTTGACACATTTCAGATGAGAGAATCTTTGATAATTTGGGTGCTTTTTGGAAAAAGCAGTTACTAGCTTTGAAAATGAGAAACTTTGCCATATGTGGTAGCTTTATTCCTACAGCAGTGTTGTGTTATCCAAAACAGCCTTTCTTATATATTCTCAGAAGGTGAAAGTCCATACTGACTTCTTATTAAAACCTTAGTGGTAAAGATTTTTATCCGACCTAAATTTTTCTTGCTGGTTTTGAAGCATATTCTCTTATTTATTTGCTCTTTATAACTTATCTTCAAATGCTTTTAGAGAGACTCCTGCCTTGCTTGTCCAAGATGTGTGCTGATATCTAACTGCATGTAAATGGGGTCTTGCAGAGCTATTCTGGCCCATACATTTAGGTCAAACCAATAAGCCACTGACAGCAAGTCTGTGTACTGGCTTTGCTATCATGTATGTAGCCAAGATATATATTGTGTTGTAAAATGGATAATTTTAATTATGGACTGTTTCACACTGTATTAGCTGCAGTATTTTTCCCCCATATATAAATCCATGCCTTCCATTCCTAACAGCACCAGTATATTATTACTTTGCCTCCATAATGCTTTCAAATATATCTTCCTTCTTTCTTTAAATTTTTAGCTTTCTGTGATCTCCACTTAGTTAATTTGCTCCGTTATCCTAAACTAGATCTGTTTTTTCTCTTTTGCTTTCTTCCTCTGTAATGCTGGCTTAGGGGGGAAAAAAAGCCATTTCAGTCATATATTAACTCTTTTCTATGTCTTAATTGGAATTGATTTATACTTACTTAATCTGTCTGCAGTTTTGATATCCCAAACATTATTGAAAAATAGTCTTAAGTTCTGACGGTTTCTGAATATCTGACTTAGAGTAATAATGAAGCATGGTAAACAGCATGAGGGAAATTTTTTTAAGAAAGCCTGTTATATGTATTATTTAAGAAGTGTTTAACATAGCATACTTATTTCTTAAAACATCTTCCCGCTGATAATGAATGGTAATTAAAAGATGATTGGTGTTTTTAGATATTGAATAAGGGTAAATTTAATAAATCTGCTGCAGTTTTTGCCTTACCAGACTATATTCTCACTCCAGCTAGTGTTCATTCAGTGAATAATTGATGAATTTGGGAACTTGGAAGAGGGAAATAACTACCCTCTTATTTATCATAAATACATATTATCCTTAAAATGTTTTCACATAGGAAAAAGCTGATAATAATTAGCAAGTTCTCAATAAATACTGGCATGGTAAATTGAACCAGTCTGACTGTGTTTGTTGAGGTTTTCATGGGTACCTATTAATATATATGTTTATTAGCATTAATGTCAGTGTTTCTAGGTCTCTGTACTTAAATGATATATGGTAGGTAGAATGCTAAGTCATTTGATTGTGTGTTGATATGGCACCTGATAACTCTGGGAAGGCTGTATACAGTAGGTTTTAGATTTACAATATAATTCTATTGTGAGTTGTCATGTTTCCTGCTACCATTTATAGGAAGTTCTTGAGTTTTGAATCTTTTGCCACAAACATTTCATTGTGAAACTTTTTATTATTACTGTTTTAGTACCTTATATTCCCACATTTTTTTCTTCTTTTCGAGATTTACACAGAGCACTGTATCAGTTAAATGCTCCAAAATAAGGACATACTGCTTGTGGGGTGCCGTACTTTCTCAGAGTCTATGAAAATCTTTTGTCTAGAAAAGTAAGATCATAACATTTAAGAGCATTATGGACAAATGACCTTGAACAAACTGCTTAACCTCCTCCATGACTTAGTTTTCTGTTCTGTAAAAGAAAGATAATCATAGTGCCTACTTCATGGGATTGTGGTAAGGATTAAATAAGATGATCTGATGATCCATGAGTGATGATTGCACAGCATCTGGTACATAAATGCTGAATAAATGTAAGCTTTTATCATCATGGGTTGCCCTGTTATGACCTGTCTTCATCTAAGGAAAGAAACATTAATTTTTATAAATACCTCCTCATCTCTAGCTTCCGTATTAGAAAATTGCTTTTCTTGAAGTTCTTAAACCTTGTCGTTGCACAATTTTGTAGTTGTCCTCCTAAAGGGTTTAATTTTGCCACTTAAAGTTGATGTTCATGTTTATTTTCATGATACCCCAATATTTCATTGATTCACAAGTGAAGAATGTGTTGCTTAAAGAAGTTTAACTTCTTTTAATGAACAAAAGGTAAAAGATATGAACATGTATCATCAGTGGCACATGGAAATGGGCTACAGAATATTTCAGGAAGTTTTGTGCATTTAATAGAGGTCACTTTATTGCCTACCTTCACTCATTTATTTGAATATTTACTGATGCTTAGCTAACAGATCACTAATTATATATTGTTAATACATATTTCAGTCCTTAAATAGGTACTAATTAGTACAGTGTCAAGGGGTACATCAGATGGGGTAGCACTAAACCATTCTGCTCTGTCCTTTTCTCTTTGCTCTGATTTCCCACCCCCTTTAAGATTTGATTCAGCAACATTCATTTAACACTTCTTCAAAAGACTGTGATGCTTTTGACAAATGTTAATTGAGAAAGCACTGGAAGCTTGGCTGCATTGTAATCAAAAGAAAATTACGAGGTTTAACAAGATGTCAGGCAAGTGCTTTACAGAAAAAAGATAAACAGGTTTGAATAGGTTTCTGCAACAGCTGGCTAGGCATGATGCTTGACTAATGTACACAGGATTCTCTCATATGATCAGTAACCAATGCCCTGGATATAAACCAGTTGGTTAAGAAGTTTCTCTAGTGATAGAATGAAAAGAGAGTGTCAAAAGTGTATCTTGCATTTATTGGTAACAAGAAGTTTGTCACTACTAAAGAGCTAGAAATAGGTGTACACTGCGTTTTCTGATAAGCTTAGCATACTCGTCATAGAGTCAGAATTATACAAATTACTTAGGGACCAGAGCTTAAAATACTAATTATGTCAGTGATATATGGATGTGTTTTCAAAGAAGTTTTACTGTTCTAGTCTGGTTCTTACGTGTAGCAAAACCATAAAATAACTTAATGTCTTATAAGATTATCATTAAAAATAGTTACTTTTAATTTGCTCTACTTGATTTAAATTTAAAGTCTCAAAATTATGAAGTTTTAGGATTCAGTAATCTAAATGTTGATAAAACTTTAGTGTGGTCACTAATAGATTTTAAATGATGCCATTAAAATTTTACTGACAGAATTGTTTTGTTTTTTGAACTAAGTGGTCATTAATGAAGGAAAACATTAAACTCCATTATTATTTTAACCTAATGGATTTAACAGTTTAAAAATAATGTTGGAAGTCCTGAATAACCTTAAATTTTTTTTTTCTTTTTAAATTTCTGCTTTTAAGTGAGTTAACTGTAGGTCCTTGTAAACTCTCCGTTAATATGTAGAGTTGGTTTTGAATTAGGCATAATTTGGTCCAACTTGTTATCTTGATGCAATTACATAGAACCTCAGATCAGAACTAGTTTCTTTTCATACCTATGTTTTCAAAAGTAAAGATGTCAAAGCCTCAGATGTTTCCTTACTAAAACAGAACAAGCATGCCAAGTTTATCTTCTGTTTGGATCTAATCAGCCATGCTCAAAAATCTCTCAAGCAAGAATGGCTGCTGGGTGGAAAGATGTCACAGTATTTGTTTCCCTATAAGATGTAGAGTGGGTGACTTGAAATTTTCTATTGTCCTAATTATATGTAATGGTCAGACTTTTGTTGATACTTTGAATTTTATTGTTTCAGAGTATGAATATATATAAGAAATGGCTTTTTCTAAATTATGTATCTGATATACCATATTTGATACATAGATTAAAACTCTATATTAAACTATCCTTCATTTCCTGTTAGATGATGTTGAAATTGTACATAAACTGTATTATCAAATATTTCATTGAGAAGTAAGCCTAGAACACAGTCAGAGAGCAAAATCTAGGGTAAAACCCAAACTGCCAGTCGGATAGCCAACAATTTGAATAAGCTGGAATAAATGAAGAGATTCATTCTTCTTCCTACCCTGTGGATATTCTCAGTGATCCCCATTTTGTTGGTTTGGGATGGTTGTGTATTTTGTGTGTGTACATGTGTGTGTGTGTGTGTGTGCACATGCACATGTTCACATATGAATGTGATGTGTGTTTGAGATTAACATACTCATCTCTTTTCCATAGTGCCTACCACAGCTGTGACAATAACTTCTTCAGCTGAGATGTTCAAAACCACAGTATCAACCACAAGCACTACTTCACAGAAAGGCCCCATGAGCACAACTGTAGCTGGATCGCAGGAAGGAAGCAAGGGGACAAAAGCACCTCCAGCAGTTTCTACAACCAAAATTCCTCCTGTAACAAATATTTTTCCCCTGCCAGAGAGATTCTGCGAAGCATTAGACGCGAGGGGGATAAGGTGGCCTCAGACACAAAGGGGAATGATGGTTGAACGACCATGTCCCAAGGGAACGAGAGGTATTGCCTGTCAAATACTGATACTGTGTATACTATTAAAACTTTAAGTCGGTTCTGAATTACACTGAAGTGATGTTATTTGAGAAAAGAGATATTTACAATAGCTAACTTAATTGTTATTTTGTTACTTTGGTAATATAGCACATGTAGACAACTTAAAGGTTTTGAAACTATAAAAGTCTTTTAAGACTAGGCTTTGAATTCCCGCTCCTTCTTCAAGTCCTAGGTCAAGCCTGAGGTTTAGGCCCATGGATTCTCTAGTGAGACTGCCTTACAGCTGCGTTTCTCATTACAAAGTATCATTTTGGATAAGTCCCAAGAAAAAGGGCTTTTTGTTTGTTTGCTGTAAATGTCTAATATTTCTGTGCCGACTTTATATTTACTGTTTATATTCTGCTTTTTGTCAGTTATTGTCAACTACTTCCATTAGCGTTTATTCAAAATTTAACACACGGAGTAGGATCATCATAGTGGATTTCCCGAATGCATGCAGGAAAAATGGTTTCAATTTCACTGTTGTTTTCTGCATCTGTTGTAGGAACTGCCTCATATCTCTGCGTGCTTTCCACTGGAACATGGAACCCTAAGGGGCCCGATCTTAGCAACTGTACCTCACACTGGGTAAATCAGCTGGCTCAGAAGGTTGGTTGGAACCTTTTAATATGATACACATTGGTGATTAAGGGCTTTAACTTCTAACATAAATAATTTAGCTTTGTATGTTAAGACCAGCTTCGTTGCTCTTTGTTCTGTATCAAAGTAAAAAATTATGCATAGTTTGGTCTGTAAACTATTTATTCAAAGTTACATATGTTTTAGGGCTTGCCATTTTCTATGTGAAGCTTTTTAATGAATACATACTTGCCTAATTTCATTCATATTTAGTTTGTTCTGTTTCTTTTGATGTTCATAAGACAAATAGTGCACTGGCCTAATAAATCAAATATCATTAAGTTTGCAACTGAATCCACAGAATGCAAGCAGATGTTCATATCACAGCTGATTGTGACAGAATAAGTAAAAATGACTTTAAAGGCATTAGTAACTTTAATACAGTGCAATGTAGTGACATTTTAGTTTTACCACCTACCTTTCTGAAAGGTAAGCAGTAGATAATAACCCTCAGTGTTATACTGATTACATTCTGACTTAAATTTCTGGATCATTGGAATAAATTAATAAGATTTTTAAGCAACAGTTTAAAATGGTTGCAGTGAAATGAGAGAGTTGTCTCAAAAATTTTTTAAAGGACTTTTTTTTCTCTTTTGTTTCCTTTAAATGCCTGCCTAAGAATTTCTTTTTGAGGATCTAAGAACCTTTAATCATCTGAAATAAAGAGAAAGTTATTGGTCTCAGTTAGTTGCAGATTTTGACATATTTGTGAATATTTTTCTCACCACAACAAAGATCCTTGGGAAAAGAACAAGAAGCTACAAACAACAAGAAATCTTTACTGAGATAATATAAACTCTCATTTCAGATCAGAAGTGGAGAAAATGCTGCCAGCCTTGCCAATGAACTGGCTAAACATACCAAAGGTCCAGTGTTTGCTGGTGATGTGAGTTCTTCAGTGAGACTGATGGAGCAATTGGTGGACATTCTTGATGCACAGCTGCAGGAGCTGAAACCAAGTGAGAAGGATTCAGCAGGACGGAGTTATAACAAGGTATGTAGAAATTTCCTGTTATTTTCAATTAGATGTTTTGTATGTCTGCTCTGGATTCTTCAGCAGTTGACTGCCTGACTTTTGGTCCCCATGACATACAGATAGAAACAAAACTTCTAATTTGGTTCACATCTCAAGAAATAATTGTAGTTGCGAAAGGAGCAACGTGCCCTCACCTCGCTGCCCCCCAGATGATGCTAGTTACCTGAGGGAAATTTAGTTGGTAGTAAACTTCATCTACCTGGTTGTTGTCAGTACTCACTTTGGAAGGCATTATCTGCAATTGGAGATATTGTGTTAAACAACTCATACAGGCAACTCTTGTGATTATAACAAAATTGTGATGCATTTAGGAGTGTTAGATACTAAACAGTTGTTTTCAATATTAGGTTTGGGGAGAAGGACAAGTTTTTTTTGGTAGAATTATAGTGTGTTAGTGCTACTAATTTTTCTTACCTTGACAAAAATTTGATAGTTATTTTAACCATATTATAAAGTGTTTATATGAAATTCATATGAATCTGAAATCTGTGGCTAAAATGGCTCTATAGGTTTTTTTCTTGCTTTTTATCACATATTTTGTCCCTAGTTTTATCAAGATACTTTGCATTATTTTATTTAGTAAAATAAAGTTAAAAGCTGTGAATACACAGTCTTGGCAGTCAGTATAGACTCGCAGAAATCCAGAGGACTACAGTACATGATAAACCTGAGCTCAGGACCACCAATTTAATTTTTGTAGGATTTCTCCTTCTTTCCCCATATGCAACAGATGAAAGTCTAACCTCTGATTTTCTTTTCTTTTACTAAAAAGCTCCAAAAACGAGAGAAGACATGCAGGGCTTACCTTAAGGTATCTCTCCTGTGCTGTCACCCTGCTTTTCCCTTCGTCAGCTTCCTGCTACGCGTTGCCATCTTGCTGCATGAACCAATGTATCTCAGTCTTTGATAATTATATAATGTGCCCCATATCAGCTGTACAAATGTGTCTTTTCCCAGGTATATTACTCTCAGAATACGCAAATAGCTTGTTTTTATATTTTTTGCTGCTTTTGCATTCATCCAAACATACAGGAATTTAAACGAAATATCCTCTGAATTGGAAAGTAATCATAAAGTCTTGTTACCCCCTGTTGTCATCTCTGGATTAAAAACAACTTCAGTAAAACAGCTCTGATATATTCTTGGCAGTTTATCATATCAAAGACTGTATAGTCATAATGTATGTGCATGAAAAAGTCACTGCTTTCTTATCTCTGTGGTGTACTCTTAAATAAAATAGGTTTTGTTTTGAAAATTTTAGGTGTCATTACTAGAATCAGGTTGATATTAGGAGGTGTTACTAGGAATGAAATATAAGTAATGTGACCATACTGTACATAAATATGTTTCTGTGAAGGATAATAGGAACAGAAAGCCACTGTTTGCCTCAGAATCTTTTTCTACTGAAGCCAATTTTCCTCGCTGGTATATGCAAGTAAAATAGGAAACATGGTGAGGCTAACCATAGAATTATGCCAAGCTAACTGTATGATAGATCAAAATAATAATACTACATTACATTTTGTTTTACTCTGTGAAGTTTAGAAGTTCCTTTTGTTGGATATAGTTACTTTCTAACTTTACTCATCTGGGGACCATATTCCTAGTCAATCAAACTTTGAAGAACTAGTTTATATACATATGAAAACAAAACAAAAGAACTCTGTAAATTTTGTAGAATAGAGATTATTCAGAAGCTATGACTTCACCAATTTTGGTTGGCAAGATCTGGAGAAATAACAACATTTCACTAGCTAGTAATAGACATTGTTGGATCTGAGAACTTTGAAAGAAAAAGCAGTGGGAAAGTATTTTTTTAGGTAGTAATATTTTGAAAGTCTCTTATTAGCCTGTTTAATGGGGTCAAAGAAATACATGCTGAAATTTATAGAATTTGTCGTACTGAAATTTTCAGCTCACCTTTATGGTATTAGTTAATGTGTGAAATGTAATAATTGGTATGTTGCCCAGGATGTATATCTCAGTGGGAGTAGATAGAACAGCTTTCTTTCTTTGGCAGGGAGACTACTTTAGGAATATGATTAGCATAATGATCGTTTTGATTCCACTAGAAAAATACAAATGATAATAAATAAGGAGTGATTCAAATTAATGAAAGCATGCCATCAGCGAGTTATGTATGTAGCTAGTAAATTTCAACATGACCTTAATTTCTGACCAGTGTTGTTTTCAGTATGTCTCAAAATGAGCTTCTCTGTTCAGATAAGACTAATAAAATACCTTAAATTACAAATTAGAAGCTGACTTACACTATGCAAATGAAACAAATTCCTGCTTTGTGACAAAGGATTCATTTGTAGCTTAGATTAGAGGCTCCAGTCTATATTTCTTAGTAACTAATGAATCTGGCCTCAGCAGACCACTTTCTGTTTCACTCCAGTTAATGGATGCAGCAGTATCAATGTGAGCATTTTGACTATTTTATCTCCCAGTAGAGAGAGAGAAAAGCCTTTGACTCCACTTGCAAGTATCTTCTACCTGCCAGGAAGGTTTTGGTGACTTACATGGCAGACAAAACAAGGATATTAAGATGGATTAAGCTAATTAATCTCACTCTGACAGTAGCCTCAAACAAATTTTCCACCTGCTCATTTCAATACAATACCTCAAACAGGCCGTTTTTGTAGTGTTTGTACAATGTATGTTCTTTTTCTCAATGATTGCCAGTAGATCAGAGCAATTTATATTTGGGCTTAATGATGCACTATGACTAGGTACGTGGGAGAAGGAGTAAATAAACTTAGTGATTTCAGCTATTAAGCCATAGTCAGTGTACAGCTACAGTAAGTATCAGTGCAAAAGCCAACTTTCAATTGCATAACTGACTGGATTACATTTTTATTTAATGTTGTTTTGCATGGTAATACATGAAACCTACATATATGAATATAACATGTATATTTATAAAGATGCCTTTTCTGTTTTTATTAAATTATTAGTCTGGCTTTAAATATCTTGACTGTTTTCCTGATCCCCTTAAAAACAGATCATTGTTTACACATGATGGTATACTCTCCAGTGTTTTTAGCTAGCCAGGGAATTGGAAGAGTGGAAATGTTCACAAATAATTTGTAAACTGTGAAATCATCTTGGTTTTTTCCTAGTGATAATAGTATACAATGTTATAAGGCACAATTTTGGATATTATTTTAGTTCAGGTTTCCAAAACCAACATGATTTTATTTTCTAGCAAATATATTAGGCTACCCTAGAGATACCAATGTTTTCTATTTAGAACATTTAAGTCTTGAGATTATATGTAGGAGTGACCATGCATGTATGTGTAATACCTCAGATTAAGAGCTGACACTGGTTTTCTTTCTTTTCAATGATTGAGATATGATTAGATAAACAGAAACGAGCTGTCTCTTTATATACTTAGTCTTTATAATTAAATAGTAGCCTACTAATCTTCAGTTAGTTCTATTTTGAAAGGGTCAGACATCAAGTTGGCCAGATAATGTGTTGTCCAGGTATTCTTCCATAAGAGGAAATCATCATATTTTTATCTTGATGTAATAAAGTATGTATAATATGATAAATATTACAAGATAGATAAATATTACAATTTCACTAGTCAGTGATTGAAAATCACCTTGGTACTAGAAGCAGTCAATACTAATGATGGTCTTCTAATGGATGCAGGCAATTGTTGATACAGTGGACAATCTTCTGAGACCTGAAGCTTTGGAATCATGGAAACACATGAATTCATCTGAACAAGCACATACTGCAACGATGTTGCTGGATACATTGGAAGAAGGAGCATTTGTCCTGGCTGACAATCTCGTAGAACCAACCAGGGTATCAATGCCCACAGAAAATATTGGTGAGTGAATCTATTGTTGAGTTTAATGTTTATTTAGAAGATAGATGTTTAAGAGAATTATGATTCCAATGTGAATCTTTTCAGTTATTTCCAAGTGCTAAGCTTTTCTTTTGTCAAATTATGTTTGTCCTTTAATAAGAAATGTAACTGATCACATTCATAAAATTAATGCAAAAGCCAAAATCTATTCCATGTCTTATGAAAGTTGGTTTGATGTACTTTTTTCCAACTAAAAAATCATTAAAGGAAAGAAATGTTTAGAGTACTTAAATGCCAGAATATGGATTGCTTAAGTAGTGAAAATGCTTGCTATGGAACTAGGGCAAATGCTTTTCCATTTATATGATATGTTCCTAATGAATTTAAATTACTTTCTGGAATGTGTTCTCCCAGTCAAATATTTCAGGCACACAGATACGTGAGCCAAATGTTTATATTAAACACAACTGCTTTCAGGTGAAAATGTGGTCAGTGATGTACATCCCCCATAGAGCAGAATATTCATGCTTTATAGATTGCAAAATAGCTGCAGATAGTTTTGGAGGATCGTTTAGAATTTAAATGCTGGCAGTGAGAGGCAAGAATTCACTTTTGATGATATTTGAAAGAAGTACCGTTAAGTTCAGTGAAATTATACTAGTTAGTATAATTCTATACTTATTGTACTATAATATATAATGCATATATACTAAATATATAATAGTATACTATAACTTGTCAGTCATATAGGTTTGACTGATTTAGAATTGTTATTCAGTGGGGGTGAGCTCAGATGAAGTTTATAGTATCCCTTGGTAAAGTAAAGAAATTTCCAAAGCATAAATGTGAAAAAAACCAAAAGGGAACATAGACTGCTCTGTCACTGAAAGACTGTGTTGGAGCAGCAGATACTGAATGAAGTTCTGCTATCTAGGATGCCGTATCGTACTGTCTTACTGTGCCTACTGAAACATGGGACTTTATATTTAAAAATGCAGAAAAGCAAGTTGTATGGGAGAAGTAGACATAAATCTAATTATGATACCTGGATTTAGATACAAAATTTTAAATAACTGAGTTTTTAGAAAGAGGGTGTTATTAAAATCATATTTTTATTTTCTTAATGAGGTTTGAAGTGATGAATAACTTCATTTTAAGTCAAAATAATTTGACTTGCTTTGGGAGAGCAGTCACAAGGAAAGTGATAGTCTGCCATTGTTTAATAGAAATAGAAAATAAAAGTTCTCTTTTCTGTCTAGAGCTGTCGTTATTCCTGAGTTTAATTTATTTAGTAGTCTAAAGAATTTTCTAAGATACACGTTAAATAATTCTCAGATGTTTTCAGGGATGTGCCTATAAGATAAAGGAGTGTAGACTTGATTATCTCAGAAGACAAATCATAAAAAGTATTTAAAGTGTTGTGTTGTGACCTCCATTTATTTTTTAAACCTTTTTGAAGACTATTTTAAAAGCAATGTCCCCCCCCCCAAAGAAAACCCCTAAAATTTTCCACTTTAAGCTCCTTCCAAGAGTGTGAGAAATTTTGATAGGCCAGGTTGACATTGTCTGCTCCCATCAGCTTCACATATGTAGAACACACATATTGTTATATGTTTGAGACATTTTTATCTCAGTTTGAGAATGGTCAGGAATTTTTTTCGCCTAATAGTTGTGTTTTTCAGAGTTCTACATGATTATCCTTTACACTGGTTTTTAATTGTTTTTTAATTAAAGAACATTATGCATAGATTTCTCATAGTATATATAGTACATATTTTACTGACTTCTGAAAAATAATGCCATGAGAAGGAATTTTGAGGGAAAATCAGTTCAGTTCAGTCACACAGTCGTGTCTGACTCTTTGTGACCCCAGGCCTCCCTGTCCATCATCAAGTCCCATAGTCTACCCAAACCCATGCCCACTGAGTCGGTGATGCCATCCAACCATCTCATCCTCTGTCGTCCCCTTCTCCTCCTGCCCTCAATCTTTCCCAGCATCAGGGTCTTTTCAAATGAGTCAGCTCTTTGCATCAGGTGACCAAAGTATTGGAGTTTCAGCTTCAGCATCAGTCCTTCCAATGAACACCCAGGACTGATCTCCTTCAGGATGGACTGGTTGGATCTCCTTGCAGTCCAAGGGACTCTCAAGAGTCTTCTCCAATGCCACAGTTGAAAATCATCAATTCTTTGGCGCTCAGCTTTCTTAATAGTCTAACTCTCACATCCATACATGACTACTGGAAAAACCATAGCCTTGACCAGATGGACATTTGTTGACAAAGTAATGTCTCTGCTTTTTCATATGCTGTCTAGGTTGGTCTTAACTTATTTCCAAGGAGTAAGCATCTTTTAATTTCATGGCTGCAGTCATCATCTGCAGTGAATTTGGAGCCCCCCAAAATAAGTCAGCCACTGTTTCCACTGTTTCCCCATCTATTTGCCATGAAGTGATGGGACCAGATGCCATGATCTTAGTTTTATGAAAGTTGAGCTTTAAGCCAACTTTTTCACTCTCCTCTTTCACTTTCATCCAGAGTCTCTTTAGTTCTTCTTTACTTTCTGCCATAAGAGTAGTGTCATCTGCATATCTGAGGTTATTGATATTTCTCCTGGCAATCTTGATTCCAGTTTGTGCTTCTTCCAGCCCAGCGTTTCTCATGAGATACTCTGCCTATAAGTTAAATAAGCAGGGTGACAATATACAGCCTTGACGTACTCCTTTTCAGGTTTGGAACCAGTCTGTTGTTCCATGTCCAGTTCTAACTTTTGCTTCCTGACCTGCATACAGGTTTCTCAAGAAGCAGGTCAGGTGGTCTGGAATTCCCATCTCTTTGAGAATTTTCCACAGTTTATTGTGATCCACCTAACAGCTTTGGCATAGTCAATAAAGCAGAAATAGATATTTTTCTGGAACACTCTTTTGTTTTCAATGATCCAGCGGATGTAGGCAATTTGATCTCTGGTTCCTCTGTCTTTTCTAAAACCAGCTTGAACATCTGGAAGTTCATGGTTCACGTATTGCTGAAGCCTGGCTTGGAGAATTTTGAGCATTACTTTACTAGTGTATGAGATGAGTGCAATTGTGCGGTAGTTTGAACATTCTTGGCATTGCCTTTCTTTGGGATGGGAATGAAAACTGACCTTTTCCAGTCCTGTGGCCACTGCTGAGTTTTCCAAATTTGCTGACATACTGAGTGCAACATTTTCACAGCATCATTTTTTAGGATTTGACATAGCTCAACTGGAATTCCATCTCTCCACTAGCTGTGTTCATAGTGATGCTTTCTAAGGCCTACTTGACTTCACATTCTAGGATGTCTGGCTTTACGTGAGTGTGACTGATCACACCATGGTGATTATCTGGGTCGTGAAGATCTTTTTTGTACAGTTCTTTTGTGTATTCTTGCCACATCTTCTGCTTCTGTTAGGTCCGTACCATTTCTGTCCTTTATTGAGCCCATCTTTGCATGAAATGTTCCCTTGGTATCTCTGATTTTCTTGAAGAGATCTCTAGTCCTTCCCATTATTGTTTTCCTCTGTTTCTTTGCATTGATCGCTGAGGAAGGCTTTCTTATCTCTCCTTGCTATTCTTTGGAACTCTGCATTCAAGTGGGTATATCTTTCCTTTTTTCCTTTGCTTTTCACTTGTCTTTTTTTCACAGCTATTTGTAAGTTGTCCTCAGACAGCCATTTTGCTTTTTTGCATTTCTTTTTCTCGGGGATTGTCTTGATTCCTGTCTCCTGTACAGTGTCATGAACCTCTGTCCATAGTTCATCAGGCACTCTGTCTATCAGATCTAGTCCCTTAAATCTATTTCTCACTTCCACTGTATAGTCATAGGGGATTTCATTTAGGTGAAATTGATGCATGTATGTGTATGGTTGTGACCCTTCACGACCGTTCTCTGTTCACCCAAAACCATCACAACATTGTTAATCAGCTATACTTCAATACAAAAAAATAAGGTCCTTATCTTAATGTATTCATGTATTGATTACCCAAGAATTAACGCTATGAAGATCATTTTACATATTCCAATATATTCCTATATCTTTTATTTCACAGTTTTGTGAAAAATATCATCCATAATTTAATGACATTCAAGATTCAATTTTTTCCTAGGACTTGTTCTCTTTTTAGACATGAGGACTAAAATATCCCATTATCCTTTTATGTCTTCATTCTATGTTCTTAACTAAATTTAGAGTATGGCTACAGTATCTTTGTTTATTAAGACAATTTGATTCTCCTCCTTAGTGGTTTCTCCTTGAATCCCTATTTTCACTTGATTATATGATTTACCCTTATATGTGACCTCATAAAATTATATGTTATAATTATATCTGAGTATAGCTTATTAAAATCAACTTTGACTTATACTTTACATACAATAAAGGCAACTGTTTTAAGTGTACTTTTTGATGAGTGTTGACAAATGTTCACTCGTTTAACCAACTGCTTGGTCAATATTTCAACCACCTCAAAAGGATCCTTTATAATCTTTGATAGTTTTTTCATATTCCCAGTCCCAAGCAACCACTGATCTGTTTTATGTCACTATAATTTTGTCTTTTCTAGACCTTCAGTTGATGGAATCATAAACTGTATGCTCTTTTTGATCTTGCTTCTTTTACACAGTATGATGTTATTGAGATTCATCTGTTTTGGTGCCAGCACCAGTAATTAAATCATTCGTATTGCTGAATTTCCATTATAAGGACACATTTTTGTATCTACTCACTTGGTTGGCCATACGTTTAGGTTGTTCCCAGTTTTTGACTATTACTAGTCAAGTTGTTAGTTTCCCAAGTGGTTGTACCCTTTTATATTCCTAACAACATTTAGGAACCCTTTTATATTCCTTAACAACAAGTTTAGTTGCTTCACATTCTCACTAGATTTACAATTGTCTTTTCAAATGCCTTTTTCTTTTTAGCCATTTTGGTGTTTGTAATGGAATCTCATTTTGGTTTTACTTTTCATTTGTATGGTTGCTGAGTTACGTTTTGCTGAAAACTGT